GCCCTAATTTTGATTCTTAATAAACCTGACTAGATAGGCTCTCTCTTAACAGGATAAAGTATCTTATACCAAGCTCTAAAGCTGGAGAATCATTACCAGCATTCCCATAAAAGTCAAGAACAAGCCAAGGATCTCCACTATTACTTACCATTTTTCCTGTATGTTTAGCCAGTGGAATTGTAAAAGAGAAGGTAATAAAAGGTATGAAAATTGAAAGGAGAAAAAAGAAAACTATCATTATAGATGATATAGTGATTTAAAAAAAAACAACTGAAAACCCCAGATAATCAAATGAAAAACTACCAAAACCAGTAAGACAACGTAACATAGTGGCTGGGTACAAAATTAATATACCTTCAAAAATTAATACAGCCTTTATATAAGCAACCATCTAGTTAGAAAAAGTCCATTTGTAATAGCAACAAAGAAAATGTTATCAATGGGCACCAAAATTGGTTGAAGAAATACAATGAAACAGCATGTTTAACATCACAAAAATATCTAGGTTGGTTCATAAAAGTTAATATGATTAAGATCCTAATACAGAAACCATCAGGGTTTTGGGGTGTGCCCCCCAAAATTCTAAGGAGGACAAATAGCACCTATTACAAATTTAAGTGGGTATATCCTACTATTTAGTAATTCCACTTCTCAGCATCTACCTTCAAACATCATAAAGTACTGTGTATTTTCTATGGGTACATATGCCAGTAAGAAATGCATTAAAAAAGAAAGAAAGAAAGAAAAGTCTGGAAGGACACACAGTAACTGATGAGTGGCTAGCTCTGGGGGGCTGGAGAGAGGTAGTATAACAGGGATCTTTGCAACTGACAGCCAGGACTCTGCCAATTCTTAGATGGTGAGACCACCTGATTTCTCTAGATTTCAGTATTCTCATCTCTCTAAAATGAGAATGATACCTAATTCAGAGGCTACTGAAATTAAATAAGATGTGTGAAATTGCCTGGTACACAGCAGACTTGTAATTCCACTTTAACCTTCTTTTCCCCCTTTGGTTTCAAATCACTTTTCAGAGTTGAAAATGACCATGAGAGTATGCGCTAAGTTACATATGTATAACAATTTAAAAATGGAAATGATTCCCATTTATTCTCAAGTCCTAGAACAGTCTAAAAAAATAAGTAAAAAGTTTCTGAGCCCCTAAAATAGCCCTTGCAAACTCTCGGCAAGCTTACAGGTGCATACTCAGCATCTCACTGACTTTCAAACATACATTTTATGTAAGTTTGATGCTATCCTTTTCCAGAACACAGCAGATAACTCAGAGGAGGAGGGGCTATCAGAAGCAGATACACTGACAGCAGTGTTAGGTGGCATCAAGCAGGAGATAGAATACCATCCAGTTAAGAATAGCTTAAGTGACATCTTCTGTCTTTCGTCTTGAAAGTTAGGGAAGCAATATGTTTTAGAAATGTCGATTATCCTATGTTAAAATACTGGAAGCACGAGTTGTTTACGCTTCGGAGGGTAGGCGTCCAGTCCCTCCCCACGAGAAAGGCGGGAGCAGAGCCAAGGATTGACAGCAAGGGGCGTCCAAGCGTGTCATCTCCTTGGCTCTGTATTTAAATAAAGAGCCACTTTTGGGGACTAGGCTCTGCATAAAGGAGGCTATCCTCAACCTGGCAGAACTCACGAGGCCGTCTCCGAAAAAAGAAATACCCCTGATTTCTACGAATCTTACAACCAAGCAAACATCGAAAAAAGACCAGAGCGGCGTTATGGAAAAGCGACGTCAATGAAACCCAGTTCCCAGGACTGTCCGGGCCCCAGGTACACCCCACAACCGCACAAGACGGCGCCCAGGCCTAGGGGCAGGAGGCCCAGTCCCGGAGCCAGGAGGAGGGGTAGGCCGGCGCCCGCCCCACCTGGTGCGTCTGGAAGAGGCGGCAGCAGCAGCACCGCAGGACCCGAACCTGCGGAGACGGCGCCATTACAGCCTCCGTCACAGCTTCATCAGCGCGTGCGCGTGTGCGTGCGCTCGGCTCTCCTGTCGGCCCCTTGCAGGCGCTCGGGCCTCTCCTCGTGGGCGCGTGCGCATTGCGCTCCGGCCGGGACCTCTCTAGCCTCCCGCGCGTCTCGGCGGTTGGCTAGGTTCCTTGAGATCTCGGGACTGCGCGCCGCTTGCTGCCCATTAGGACGTTGTTTGTGGCTGTCGTTAGCCTTGTCCCCGATTGGCTGATTGGTCCCGGACCAGTATTCTTCTCTGCGTGAGCCTGCGCTTTCGCGTGCGCTCGCTGGGAAAATGGAAGTCGCAAGGGCAGGGCCCCCAGCCGCTGCTGCGGATCTAGCCTTTGCCTGCACCGGTCCCCCTGCTTCTTTAAGACTTGGAGAGGGTGCTGGAGGGTGCCGCCCATCCTGGGCCTGTGGTTGGAATTTGCAGGACATCTGGGCGGAGGTGGTCAGTTAAGTCTCCAACCAGAGACCTGTGGGCCGGACAACCGATAACTCCGGGAAAACAGGCATGGAGACGGAGCAGCTGAAAACTAAAACCAGTCCCTCCTGCAGCCCCAGTGCTCAGACCCCACTCTGCAAAGTGAAGGAGCAAGGGCCGCCCCACGCTGTCCCAATCGCACTGGTCCCTTACAGCCCGCAGACATTCACACGTGCCTGACAACACAAACCATCTTGTTAAGACGATTATAACGCAAGGTCCTTTAAGGATGTGGTGAGAATGGAACCGAACCCTTCATAAGAAGATGCTGGTAGAGAGGTAAAAGAGAAAACCATTATGGAAAGCAACCTGGTGATTGTCTCTATCCTAAGAAAATGTTCTGTATAGCCCAGCTGTATTATTTATGCACTAATGTTCACTGAAGTATAATAGGAAAAAATGGAAATAAACGTTCTAATCTAAACAGTGGTTGCTTAGGATAACTCAGCATGGATCATTATGCAGGTCCTTAACAAAGAGTGAATTTTGAAGAGAAAACTTGGCGTGTGGTGTGTAATTGTTGCAAAGCAAGATTATAAATACACATAATTCCAGGGCCGAGTGGCACGTTGGGTAAGAGCTGGCTTGGGATGCCAGAGGGCCCTGGTTGGGATCCCACATATGAGGGCCAGTGACACTGTCCTCTACAGCTAAGATGCTGAACAACAGCTCGACCTGGAGCTGGGCTGCCGGGACTCGCTGGAGACGGTGGGTTGCCATGGGCTACCGTGTGTAGCCAGCAGCCAGCATGAGCAGCCAGCAGCCCTGTGAGCTGTATATGTCAACTTGAGCTAAGGAGAAAGGGGGGAGGGGGAGAGGTTTGGGCCATCCAGAAGCCTGGGAGATCTGCCTCGCCCGGGAAGATTGCAATGATGGTGCCAACTTAGGCCAGTGAAGCAACGTCCTCCACAACTAGACTGAAGAACAAAAGGATAGCAACTTGTCTGTTGCCCTTCCCCAATTCCCCAATAAAAATCTTAAAAAAAAAATAAATACACACAATTCTAATTATGTAAAACCAGGCATTTCTAGGTGTGTGTGTATGGGGGGGGCAGTTAGGGTTATAGATTATTTTATACATTTTAATTTTTTTAAAAGATTTTACTGGGGAATTGGGGGATGGGAACAGCTCTGGGGAACGGGGGAAGGGGAACAGACAAGTTGCTGTCCTTTTGTTCTTCTGTCTAGTTGTGGAGGATGTCGCTTCACTGGCCCATGTTGGTATTATCATTGCACTCTTCCTGGGTGAGGCAGATCAGTAGCTGGCCACGGAACGGCCGCTCACGGCGGCTCTTGGCAGCTCACACCGGCTGCCGGCTGCTCACGCTGGCTGCCAGCCACACAAGTAGCTCATGGCAACCCACTGCAGCAGGGGCTGCAGCCTACACTGTTGCCNCACTGCAGCAGGGGCTGCAGCCTATGCCGTCACCAGCGACTCACGGCAGCCCAGCTCCAGGTTGAGCTGTTGTTCAGCATCTTGGCTGTGGAGGGCAGTGTCACTGGCCCTCATATGTGGGATCCGAACCGGGGACCTCTGGCGTCCCAAGCCAGCTCTTAACCAACGCACCACTCGGCCGGCCCCAATGAACCATTTCTTGATCAGATTGTGACGTGTGATGAAAAGTGGATTTTATATGACAACCGCGATGACCCGCTCAGTGGTTGGACCTAGAAGCAGCTCCAAAGCATTTCCCAAAGCCAAACTTGCACCAAGAAAAGGTCATGGTCACTGTTTGGTGGTCTGCTGCCAGTCTGATCCATTAAACTTTCTGAATCCTGGCAAAACCATTACATCAGAGAAGTGTGCTCAGCAAATCGATGAGATGCACCGAAAACTGCAACACCTACAGTCAGCACTGATCAACAGAAAGGGCCCAATTCTTCTCCACGACAACGGCCGACTGCACATTGCACAACCAACACTTCAAAAGTTGAATGAATTGGGCTACAAAGTTTTGCCTCATTCACCATATTCACCTGACCTTTTGCCAACCGACTACAACCTCTTCAAGCATCTTGACAACTTTCTGCAGGGAAAACACTTCCACAACGAGCAGGATGCAGAAAATGCTTTCCAAGAGTTCACTGAATTCTGAAGCATGAATTTTTATGCTAAAGGAATAAACAAACTTATTTCTCATTGGGAAAAATGTGTTGATTATAATGGTTTCTATTTTGATTAATAAAGCTGTGTTTGAGCCTAGTTATAATGATTTAAAATTCATGGTCTGAAACCACAATTACTTTTGCACCAACCTAATAGATGCCCTGTTTCTTGGGACTTACCCGCAAAAATGACTGCTTCTCTCCACAAGCTTTGCATGTCCATTTGAGACTCTTTTTCACCTACAATGAAATTTCAGAAATATAACTTAATTATTTAAAACAGGTGGAACTGGATCAGAAAAAAACAATTTAAAAATATCAATTGGAAAAAAATCAAGAGTTCAGAAACAAACCAACATATATGTATGAAAACTTAGTATATTATAAAGGTGAGGAAAGGGCCGGCCGAGTGGCACGTTGTTAAAGAGCTGGCTTGGGACGCCAG